TACCTTTTCGCGCACCTGCATCTTCTTTCTTCTGACTCTGTCTCTTCTCTGATCTTTTTTCTTCTTCTTTTCTCTTCTCTGACTCCTCTTCCCACTTCTGCTTTTTCGAAGTTTGTAAACTTCCTTCAATTAGTGAATTAGATTAATTTAGAGTTGGTTGGATGATATATCTACCTGGATTGGCTGAAGATTTATTGTTGTGGGAAACTGCGTCAGGACGACAAGGACGGCGATGAAAATTGGCAGCTGCCAAAAGCCGCTGAGGCGAGAATCAATCCATGGCGGTTTCCCTCGCGATTAACCATTCAAAATGGTGGATTAACCGATGGATTATGTAGATATGATGAACCGTCTCATCTATTGTTATATTTATCTATATTGTTTATGGTTTTATATATATATATATATCTCATTTGATTAACTGAAAATGGCTCTTGAATACACAAACAATATTGTGGTAGATTTGAAGGCCAACTTCGAAGACATGTTTAGGTGGTTTGGTTAAGTTTGTTAGCTAAATTGGTTTGGTTCACTAGATTTACCAGGGTCAATGGTCATCACAACTATAGTTAGATCGGGTTAACAGCTTATAACATCATATAACTAGGGCGCACCACCTTGAAGTATTAAAACAGTTGGTAGAACTATATAGTATCACTGTGTGTCAGTATGTAATTTTTGAAGGTTCGTATCTTTAACCCAAGTGTTGGATTCTTTCACCAGCTGATAGTTGGTTGGTATCTTTTACCTCTACTACTTACTTGTGAAGATACCAACTACCTACCAACACTACCAACTAGTGCCGCAAATCCTCATTTTACATTGATCAGTACGTGCCCCTCGTAATCATCACTATAGGCCTCTCAGTGTGACCGTGTGCCTTCATTTCGAGAACGTGTTGATGCTCGACACGCATGGGAACATTCCAAAAAGGTGAAGCCAGGACAGGCGACAAGCTGAACGTCGATCATAGGAAAAAGCTGAAGCCTTTGGCGGCGTCAGCAGTTTTTGCAACAAATGGATTAATTTCTCCAAAGCCGATTCTCAGGACAATTGTCATTGAGGCGAAATGGCACTGTTGTTTCGTTGAAAACATCATCAAAACTTAGGTAAAATGAGCATGTTGGGCAAACATCTCCAATCATTGGGTAACCATAGAGATTAGAACAAAACCAAAGAAATAACGGCCCCCAAGAAGTTGGACACAAAAAACTGCCAGTTACTAGTGGTCTCCACTCCGGCCGTCCCACTGGCAAAGTGTACTTGGATTTGCATCCCACTTCGGTAGTTGCTTATGTTCCGTCTTTATATGTATATATATATATATCATATATATTTTTAAATATATATATATATATATATGTAACTGGAAATATAGCCCTTTTACGAAGTGGGATGTCCCCCCAGCATCGCAATGGAGATCCAATGTCACGTCCACCTTTCTTACAAGAGTGGTCGCCTAGCTGTGCAGGTGGAAGGCAATCCAGGCCCCACTTTTGGCGCCTACAATTTAAAGATCCTGGCCTCGTGAACATAGGCCCTCGTAGTATTTATAGTATCCCCACTGTCTCTTGTAATTTGTAATCCATTTCAATCAAAGCACCGCGTTAGGCTCCCCATTTTGGATGAGTAAAACACTCATTGCAATCTTAGCTAAATCTTACATGCCCGTTATTTATATCCAAAAGATGTCTATGGGTCAAAAACCGATCAGTACCCTGGCCTCCAAATACCTGGGATTCATGGATGTGCATCCCACCAATTATGGCATCGTAGGCTTCAAGTATCAGATTCCCCCATCGTTCATACCCGATTTATTTGATTAATTCTCATATGCTGTTTGTGGGCCCAGATGTACCCAACTTGATGCTTGATAATCAAATTCTGTTTGTATCACATATACCACGTATTTATTTTGATAATTATATGATGTGTATCTTTGTGATTATAGTTATACTTAACACACGTCGTATATATCATCAAATATCCTATATATTTACATTACTCCTGAATCTATTTGTATCTACATTCATCTTGCAGTAGATAGAATACGGATATGTCAAAAGGCCTCGTAAAAAAAGGTGATATGATTGAAATTTTGATGCTCTGTTTACTTCAGGCTGGTACACCGCCGTGCAAAAACCGCCGTGCATAAATATTTTCAGTTTATATATATATATATATTATATTATATTATATCATATTGTATTATATCATATTATATTATATTATATCATATTATATTATATTATATTATAATATTATATCATATTATATTATATCATATCATATTATATTATATTATATCATATTATATTATATCATATTATTTTATATCATATTATATTATATTATATTATATGTTATTATAATTTATTATAGTATATTATATTATATTATATGTTATTATATTTTATTATAGTATATTATATTATATTATATATATGGTCTCGTGTTCCGTGTTCCCACCCCCCCAATGGTATGGGTCCCCAGGTAGTACCCCGTTCCCTTCTATTTGCAAGCTATTGGCAGCATTTCTACAACCTCGTACTTGCTAGGTTTTAGCAGCGATTCTGACTACCAGCCTCGCATTTACTAGGTACATGCTACCTTTTAGACGACCTCCGTAGCACACATACTCCCTCAAAGTACCTCCGTGCTACCTATAGTTATATTTACATGTGTTATGTATCTACTTCCTATATGTATATATATATACATACATACATACATACATACATATATATATATTTATACATACACATATATATACACACATAATCATATTTATGTATATATATTTACATATATATATATATATACACATATAAATATATACATATACATATATGTTTACACTTACATGCATATATATATATACTTCCATACATACATATATATATATATAGATATTTATTTATTTATTTGCATTTAAAAACATTTATATATATACATATTTACATGTATACATATTCATATATATATATATTGTATACATGTATACACACAGCACATGTATATGTAAATACATACATACATATTTACATACATACATACATATTTATATATACAGTATATAAATAACCACACCCCCACCACACCACAGGGGGGGAGGGGGACAGTACCACACCCCCACCACACCACAGGGGGGGAGGGGGACAGTACTATGGCTGACCCATGACCATGGCGGGAGGGGGGAGGGGAGAGACTGTTAGGAACGGGGGGGAGGGGGGTTGGAACGCTGGACCATATATATATATATATGTGTGTGTGTGTGCGTGTGTGTCTTGAATATGGATATATGAACTGCGGGGAGATTCTATGATTGAAATTGTGATATGCATGCTTATGTGTATATATATATATATCAAGGGAATATCATCGGGTTTCACCAGGCAATTATCAGAAATTGCCCCTGGAAAAAATACAGAAATAGCAATAATGCAGTAGATAACCATTAATCAACAGTATTGACCATGAATGAACCATTATTATTGAAATCAACCATGCATCAACCATTATAATGGTCAATATTAACCATGGATCAATAATTTATTATGGCAATCAACCATCAATCAACCATGGATCAACCATGGATCAATTATAATGGTCATAATCCATTACCCTCTGGTAAACGTTTACATAACTATGGAAAACTACAATTTTTAATGGGTAAATCACTTCTCCTATGGGCCATTTTCAACAGCTATGTAACAAATTACCAGAGGGTAATCACATTTATCAACCATTGATTATCCATTCATCAACCATCATAATGGTCAATATGAACCATGGATCAATAACTTATTATGGTAATCAACATAGGTCATTAAATGTCCCCATTGAACATCACCCAACCATTAGGTATATGGTCTATAATGGCTACTATAAGGTGATGTCCAATATACCCAAAATGGGACATTTAATCAACCATAGATCAATAGCCACTTCGCCAGTCCTTCCTGGCGCGTTTGGATGATCGACTGGACGAGATCGAAGAACTGGCGCCGGAGCGGGGTCGGAGCTGTGGATCTCAAAAAAACGGGTGAAAATAGGGGAAAACCTATGGAAATCCCCGGGATAAGTTGGATAAAACCATGAAATTCCCATGAAAATCCCATGAAAAACCATGAAAAACCCATGGAAAACCCATGGAAATCCTATGAAAAACTATGAAAGACCATGAAAAAGCTGGAAAACACTAGGGGAAGTTGGGAAAAATCCGGATAATTTTGATAAAAACTCTGGAAAATGAAGTGACCCATAGTACTCAATAACATTTATCACTTGTCAGGAATGATAACAGCAAATTCATGCATACATGCATTTGTGATCCCTACCCAAATAGGAGAAATTACCTACAAAAAAGAACCTGCCAAATTCATCGGTCATCTGGGTTGGTTGTAAGAACCTCATCACGATGTCACCATTTGAAAAATACATGGTGCGTGGAACTACCAACTACCTCAAAAGGTCATCAAAGATGATTGATGACCTCGTTTTAACAATATTAAGCCAGAGTCTTTGATTACACGACATGTTGAGTCACGGTCTCCGGTGCCGCCAAACACCCCAATCAGGACTTGGAGGCTGTGAAACAAGCGGCTACAAGGCGGGGGGGCAGCCCAGTTCGGTGGTTTTCCATGGAGCTACCCCCAAACGGATGGTAAAAAAATGGAAAATCCTGTCAAAAAATATGAAAATGCATGATTTAGGGGTACCCGCATTTTAGGAAACCTCCATATAGATATCATATCTAGCCAGAGTACTGGATCTAACTGGTTTAGTTCATACTGCCTGCAAAGCTAACTGGGATGCGCATCCAAGTCGAGACTGTCGGATGTCTTTTTGCAGCTGTCCAGATGTGAAGATGAACGACATTCAAAAAGACACCGAAAATGTCAAGTGAATACCCTCTGGTGAACTAACATAGCAATGGAAAATCACCATTCTTAATGGGAAAATCCACTATAAATAGCCATTTTCCATTGCTATGTTAGTTCACCAGAGGGTATCCAGATCAAGCGTGTGTTTGAGTGATTTTTCAAACCATCAATATGTTGGCGTCGACAGGATTTGAGCAACGGAGATATCACCAACAAACCAAGGAATATCTCCCTTGGATCGGTGAAATGGGTGATTGTCATTGTGGTAAAGCCAATGTCACAAAGCGATCAAGCTGCAATTTTAAGCATGGTTTTGTACCACCCATTTCCATTGAAGCCGGGGATAATATGTTTTTTGTAGGTTTACCACATTATGCCACCTGATCTGGTATCCTAACATCTCCAATCGAGCGGGTGGTTACCAAAAAGTCGCAGAAAATGAGGGAGGGTGTGACAATGATGCTGTGTATTGAAGGGCAAAAATCGATGTCGTGCGCGAGGATTCGTACAAAATCCAAATCCCAACATGGACGGGGCCCGCGAGAAGATACGGTCGCTTCACAAAAATCTAGATTCCAAAGAGATAAACATAGATAAACCATGATAGGCGAACTATCTCAGCCAACTTTAGTGTCTGTGTGCTGCTGATCCAGTGTTTCACAATTCACTCAGATGACCAGCTGGATGTGGCGAAAGTTCAATGAACGTATTGCTCAATTATACCTGATTATCATACTTTATTGATTGTGCATTGGGATAGTTACCCTCTGGTAATTTGTTACATAGCGAAAATGGTCCTTTTATAGTTGATTTTCCGAACTCAAAGATGGTGATTTTCCAGTTCGCAAACTGTGAACGTATACCAGAGAGTATGGTGATTTTCTTGGTGAATTTTCCCATGATTTTCCCCCTTCGGGCCCTTCGGGATGTCGCTTCCGGGTTGGAACTAGGCTGGAAGAACTTCGGAAAGGCGCCCCAGTTTGCTAACCTCACCAGTCGATGGCAGGGTTCACCACTGAATGGGCCATTAATATGGCTAACCCTGGCCATAAACCTACCATTTGGATCCATTTGGGCAATTTTCATGGGAATTATTCACCAAAAAAATGGAAAGGTTTAGGAACCATGTGATCATTCAAAGCAGATAGGTGGAGTTCCCCAAAAGACAGTCCAAGAAAGATATGGACTATTGACCCATCCCCATTTGGGTAAACCCTATGGAAATGCTTCTTTCGGAGGTTGTTTAACATACCCTACAGTAATTGAACGTAGCGAACTGAAAAATCACCATGTTGTAGCTCCGTAAATCATGTTTTTCATTTATCATCTATTTCTATGGGCCATGTTCCATAGCTAAGTCATAACCAGAGGGTAGGGTCCAAATATCAACGCTTTTTTTTGGATGATGTTCGCCATTGGATGTCCCAATGACCTTAACCATCCAGCCGTGGCCATCACTAGAAACACGATGATCAGTGGTCGAAAAGGGGTCTGTTCAGCCCTAAAATATCCTCGGAATATATCGGAAGATCATGTTGCTTCTTATTTCTGGTGAAAAATATCCGCTTTCTTGCCGAAGAACATTTTGGTGAGTGGTTTCAAACATGTTGATGATATGTGCGGTTTCCATTCAACAAATGGGATGATGATCTCACTTGATGATTTTGGAGGATGGGTTGAAAGCACCAACCAGCTTAGTATTGGTGATAGTGATGATTTTGCTCCCTACACCTTGGTTAGATTCCCATTTTTTGCTGATGAAATTTGATTTGGCATTGGTGTTTACGAGTGGCCAAACCATTCCTGCTTCATATTTCTCATATTTTGCTTGATTCTATCATATGGCTTTCTCCAGGAATGAGGAATTCACCCAAGTGTTTGGCCCAGTCTAAGAAATTCATTTTCTCCACCATAGGCCATAGGAATCCATAGAATTTCTCAGGTGTTCCCTTTAAATTTCGACAGCTCGCGAAAAAACCGCGACAACCGTAGCGCTGTTGGTTCAGACTGGGCGCCGGGCCAAACCCGGGCGTGCTTGGCAGGTGCCATGATGAAACCTCCCATTGGTATATGGAGGTTTCCATAAATAGGTGTATCCAAAAATGGCTGGTTTATAATGGAAAATTCCATCTATGGCTATATGGCTGTGGTTCCTGAGGAATCTACCGGGGCAAAGAAATTGCCATTGGGAAAGTGATAAACCTCGGTTTTGTTGGGGGAAAAAGTAGTCCATATTCAAATACACCCATATTAAGCCACAGGAAATATGGTGATTCACCAGCAGTTCCGGTAAATAATTGGGTAACCCTTGCTGAAGTTCTAGTGAAGGATTGTGCTATGAGAAAATTATGTTTTGCTGACGGGGGATTGCAATACCCCGATACCCTCCAGTGAACAAACACTTTACTATGGAAAAGAACCCATGTATGGATGATTTCCAAAAGAAAAAGTGATTTTTCATAGTTATGTCAACATACTGTAGGTAAAAGAAGGAGTGCCAAGTTAAGCAGTTAGTATCATTGAGGGATTAGCATCGTCGAAGAACAGTGGTAGAACCAACTCAAAGGTGGAGTAGATGACTTGACAACCATCATGGGGACATTAACAACTGGCATTAAGCAGAAAAGAATAGGGTTCAATGCGAATACATACATAAAAATCATAAGACAGCGGCGGATACAAAGATACACCCGTTGGGTTTCAACAAAATTGAGTTCGGTGGTTTCAAAGATCTTTGACGAACTGAATTCTTTGAGGGGTACATGAAGCGTGGGCTGTACATCAATTTTTCACCCATAAATCCCACCTGGCGAGGATGGCCATGTCGTGGACCGATTTTTTGGAGGTAACCTAGATATAAGGCCTTTCTTTAGCTAAGGGAATATCCCCACAAAATATTGCCTTATATAGTACAGTACTCCATTTTCAGGGTCCTGAAATTCCCACTTTACACAAGTCAGTCGGTTTTTTTGGAACATGAAGGGGTACAAGTACATTGAGTACATTTATGCAAGCAGCCTCGGATTTAAGGCTTTGTCTTTGCCTTTGGCAGTGACCTGTGCAGTAAAGTATGACTTTAGGTCTTTCCACGTGCGGTGAATTTTTCGATTTCCAATGCTTTTGCTTTGGCCCTTGAGAGCGGCATCATGGCGGACGAATTGCATTTCTTTTTGCAACCTCAACGTAACATCATCAACATGTACATGAAACTTAACATCCCACCCCACCCCACCCTTAACATCCTCAACGTAACAAGTACATGAACGTTAAGAGGCGCGGGTCAGCAAAATACGCGACGAAGCCGTGCACGTCCAGCAGCGCGGATATACATGGGATCTTGGGGATGTAAGTGGTGATATCATAAGGTTCTCACTTGGGATGATTAAGTGGAATGCCATGAGATAATCAGGATCTTCAGTTGGCATCATTGTATGCGTATCCTTGGCCCATTGGCTCATAGCTTCCCCAATTGCTACATGAATCACCCCCAAAAGTAATGAAAATTACCGAAATTGCCAAATACCAAAAGATAAATGGACAAGAGATACGATGTATAACATGAACCAAAAGAATGTAACTTGAGCCCCAAATGGCATCTGATCCCATGGCCACCCAGGCGCAGCGGCCATGCCGGCACCCAGCTCTCTGAATGGATCGTTCCTTGGGACGGGACAGTTGGATTTGGTTGGATCATTAAGCTTTGCAGGAACCTCTGATTTATAGCTATTGAAAATGGCCATTGAAATAGTGAGTTTAACCATTAAAAATGCTGGGTTTTCCATAGTTATGTAAACGTTTACCAGATGGTATTTAGCTTTATTTCCTTCATTTTGAACCATGGTTTCCTGTAGATTCTGTAGATGTTCCGAACTAAGCCAGCCCCATGCTGGTCTGCATGGGATCCAGAATTTCCAATGGAGATGAGACATGTCAAAACCGCTGCAGATCCAATAGATCCCACAATATGTGCTTTTCACAATATGTGCTTTCACAATAGATCCAATAGATCCCACAATAGATCCCAAGAAAACTCGCTGTGCTTTTTGTCTTTTCATTCCATTCTTTTCCACATCCACATTATCCACATTTCAAACGTGAAATGCTGGTGGCTCATGGTGGCTCAAGATCATCACAGACTTCCTGAGGTTTTGGGATCTTCACAAGAAGTTGGGTGAATGCTATCAAGCAGATCTACAGCTGGCATCAGACGCTTGGAGTAAAACAAGTGGGCAGCAGATTTTGTGATGGACAGGAAATGCGGAAGTTTTTGTCAACCCCCGAAAAAGATGCGGAAAAGTGAAATCCACTCCTAAATTATCGATAAATTAACTTGTCTGAGTCTTTTTGGGGATTGCCATTGGCAAAAAATTGAATCTGTTGGGAAGCCAGGGTCAAAGCCTTTTGAACATCAGTTGCTTGAAAGCACGTTGAATCCCTCCAGATTTTCCGAAAAGCCCGCCATTCTTTGAGCCGATCTGAGGCATCTGATAGGGTGTCATCCCATCCTGATGGCGTGCCGCAGGTGTTCAGACAGACCAGCAGTGTGCCTTGGCCACGGCCCTTGGCCCAGCGATAAGATCTTGTGCTGTTCCTATTGTCCTGGATTAACCAACAAAGAATGTGGCAGTAATTAAAGAGAGAGAGAGAAAGAGAGAGAGAGAGAGAGATCCGTTGGATAGACAGACACACAGATAGATAGATTAGATACCGTAGATTAGATAGATTAGATAAGACAGATAGATTAGTAGATAGATTGATAGATAGATACACGGATATATGGATACATAGATACATGGATATCTAGATAGGGAACGAAGGTAGGTAGGAAGGTAGGTAGAGAGGTTCATAGGTGGATGCATGGATAAGTGGACAGGTAGCCAAACAATAGGATATGGGGCTCCCCTAAACCATGGGTTGCAATACCAAAATGATCCAATTTTGGATCATTTTGGAGGTACCCCAAGTTTAGGAAAACTCCGTATATATGTATACATACATACCTTTATTCATCAAGTTAAGGGGATATTGAGGGGAGAAAACACAGAGAGATGTTCCAAAATTGCCCGGCCCATGCCAGATTGGAGTTTAGATTCAGCTGCGATCGTAAGACTTGAATACCTAAACCTTTCTGAGGGGATCATAGATTAACATAGATTGCCCTCCGGTAAATTAACATAGACCCCGGCAGATAGGGGTTGGAAGACTGCTTTCCACTAAAACTGGCTTATTTTCAGGGTCGAACTGTTAATTTACCAGAGGGTAACACTTTTCCTAACCACTTAAATGCATAAACATCACATAAACATCACATAAACACTATGAAGACGACTGATTGCTTCGGTTGGGGATGACTCGAAGAATCCATACAGGTGTTTCATATTTCACCACGATTTCCATGGGAACATCTATAAATGCTACATTTTCAATAGCAAACTCTTACGTAGTTTACCAGAGGTTGAATAGTAATATGGTCAGAGCCTACATCTACATTGTACATTCTTTCTGGTATAATTACAAAGTATAGAAAGTATTACTTTCTCATTGTACTTGCAAGTTACATGCTTTCTGTTCACGGCAACATTGGGAGCCTACCACTGGAGGAAGACGCAGAAATCTTCTTCGCCATCTACTCAGCCCGACCAAGTGCAACAGCATCGAGACCCTCTCCACGACGACTCAGTTGTGGGAGGAGCAACTCCGCCTGTACGAAAACAGGCGTCGTGCAGACGGAAGTCGACATGCCCTTGACGAGGAAATCAAAACCTCTATACTGGAACAGCTGTGTCCAACGGAACTTGAGTGCCACTTGCAGCTCAACCGGGCCAAGTTCATATCGTATGCAGACGTTCGAAGTGAGATCACTCTGTACCTCGAGACCCGTTTGGGAAACAAGTTGAAGGTCAACCGCCATGGAGATCGACAACTTCGAGAAGGGCAAGTCAAAGGTATTATTTGCAAGTAACATACTCA